AAACTACCCTATTCTCTTCCCCTTCACCACCTTGCCCACAGTAATGCTGACCAAACCTCAGTCATAGCAAACCTCTGTATTTCTGTCACATAGGCAGGCCACTTTTCTATTTCTTACTCAACAGTTTTAAATTTGACACTAGTTCAAATATACACTTTAGGGACTTCTCTGGTGGTGCAGTGGATGGGACTCAGTGCTCCCAATGCAGGGGGCCCAGGTTCAATCCCTGGTCAGGGAACTAGATCCCACATGCATGCCATAACTAAGAGTTCACAGGCCACAACTAAGGAGCCCTGGAGCCACAACTAAGGAGCCTTCCTGTGGCAGCTAAGATCCGGCACAACCAAAAGTAAATAAATAAACAAATATACAGTTTAGCCTGGCCCTAAAGAATCTATAAATTCAGACAGAATACAAGTTATATTTTTCTGTTGCACATTAAAATAAACACTATAAAATTTGGAGAGTTCCAAAGTACCACCTAAAAGTCGTTTTGGGGAAATAGTGCCTTAAGTGTGGCCTGGCTCTCCCAAAACACACTCTACCCACCCTGCCCATCCCCCAGAGCCTCAATTTCTCCTTTGCCTCTCATCTAATGCCACACTTCCATCAGTACTACCTTCCTGGACCACTTAGTCCCACCCTTTCATCCACCCACCCATGACTCTGACATCCCTGAGGACTCCCCATGAAACATCACCAGCCCAATAAATACATACGGGATGACTGAACTCTGGGCCACCAAGATGTCCACGTCTGCTCCACAGCACCCCAGACCCCCATCCTCACATACTCTGCTTTATGCAATACCTCCAGGAAGTGTCCCTGGGCCTCCCTGCCCCAGTCTTTTCACCTTCTCTCTAAGAGCTAAACCCTTAAATCATTAGTACACAGTTAAAAATAATTTCCTTCATGCCCCTCAAAATCTAGTCCAGGCTGATCTGGACTAGACACACGCACACACACAGATTTTCTATTAGGGTATAATATACATCGAGGAAAGCACACATAAGTGTACAGTTCAATGAATTTTCACAAACTGAACACAACTCTGTAACCAGCACCTGAGAACTTCCTCTTTCCCACTTGCCATTAATTACTGCCCACCGTCCACTCCCACCCGAGAGTGAGCACTCTATCTTCTAGTAGCATAGATTCATTTTGCTCATTTTTGTATTTATATATATGAAATCATATGGTATGCACTTTTATGTCTGGTCTTCAGCCATATTGTTATACGTAATTATAGATCATTTGTTCTCATGGCTGTGTAGTATTCAAAATTCCACTGTATTACTTTCCTATTCCTGCTGTAGCAAATTACAAATTTAGTGGCTTAAAACAACACAGACTTATTATCTTACGGTTCTGGTGGTCAGAGATCAGAAATGGGTCTCCTTGGGCTAAAATCAAGGTGTCGGCAGGGCTACATTCTTTCTGGAGGCTTGAGGGAAGAATCTATTTCCTTGCCTTTTCCAGCTTCTAGAGGCCACCCATATTCCTTGGCTCATGGCCCCTTCCATCTTCAAAGCCAGCAATGACTGGTTGACTCTTTCTCATATCACATCACCCCAACTCTGATCCTTCTGCCTCCCTTTTCCACATTTTAGGAATCTTATGACACTTGGCCCACCCTAGTAATCCAGGATAATCTCTTTAAGGTCAGCTGATTAAGCCCTTAATCCATCTGCAACCTTAATTCCGCCTTGCTATGTAGGATAACATATTCACAGGATGTGAACATCTGGGCGGTGGCCTTATTCCACCTGTCACATCCACCACGCATCTGTCCATTGTACTGTTGATGAGCATTTGGGTCCTTCCAGTACGAGACTGTTGGTGAGCATATTTCTGTTGGGTTTAGACATATCAGTGGAATAACTTACTTACAGGCTAGGTGGCCAGCTTTAGCAGACACTGCCGATTTTTCCCAAAGTGGCTGAACAAATATAACACTCCCACCAGCTACATATGCATTCTACTTGTGCTCTGTGTTGCAACACTTGCTATTTTCCATGGCTCTCACAGACACCAGATGCTTCCTTGCCCCTCTGCCTTTCTTCGTGTCTGCAGGGCCCAAAATGTTTCACCTCCAACCATCCATGCATTTCCATTGCTGTTTCCAGGAAGCAAAACATTGTTGGAGAAAATCAGGCCATCTTCTGACCCAAATTACAAATTTGTGTGGCTACCTGTGGGCACTTATGGCCATTCAACAAGCCTATTACTTATAGAATCTTATGATGACAGCAACTTCAGGGGCCACGTATACTCCATCCTCTCACTCAGAGCAGTTATATCACATGCACCATGATTGGTCTCTCATGTGCCCTCCAGAAAAGCTTCCCCAAATCTCTCAGCTGGACTCTGTGCCCCGCTCTCTGCTTCGACAGCACTCAGCTCTACCTTGCCACCTCCCACATCACATTAGAATCCACTGTCTCTCCCAGTGCACTGTGTCACAGGGGCAGAACCCAGATGATTGGACACAGCTCCTGCCCTTGCATCTATCGCTCAAGGCAGGAAAGCTCAAGTTCTCCTGTGTTCCTTAGTGACAGGCACCACCACTCTCAGCACATTTTCATGCAGGAAGGAACCAAACAGCGTCTCCAACAGATGATCTTTCTATTATTGGACAGGTCTGATCCAGTTCAGTACATTTACTAAGAGCCTCCACGGTGCCAGGTGTTGTATGAGGCATTGTAGAAACAATATGAAGAACAGCTCCTGCCTTCAAGGAACTCAGGTCTCCAAAAGCCTCACTCTTCTCATTTCCTGCCATGGGCCCCAGAAACAAGGGTCCTCCCTCCTCCACCTCAAAACAGATACAGTCAGCCAGGGAGTGAAAGGAGGCAGAGCCAACACACTAACTACAATTTAGGAGATGGGATTAGTGACAAAAATAATCTCCAGTGATAGAAATGAGATGGTAGCCTGGGGCAGGCACAGGGTGACTGACTGTAAAGTGGAACAAGAGAACTATCTGGAGTGATGGGGATGTCATACCTCTTAATTGGGGCGTGAGCTACAGGGATGTATACATCTGTCGAAACTTATCAAACAGTACACTTAGTAGAGTTGATTTTAAAAGAGAGATGGTTTCAAGTCTCCGCACTGCCTCTCACTGCCACTCACTGGATGGATCATCTCAGCCCCAAGTCACCATCTTTCCAAATCTCTGTTTCTGTCTGTAAAACGTCGTTTGTGAGCTAGTTCGATGATTTTCAGGACTGATTTTTAAAAATCTTACTCTAAGCCAGAGACAAGGGAGCTCCCTGGCTGAAGCGGGCGTGGGGAACCTAGTGTCCTCAGACCCCCTTCCCTCCTCACAAGGACCCTGAGGGGGCACCATTACTGCTAAGTCCCAAACAGATCTGACTGGCTCTGATTCTATGTCTGTCTCTGCTTCAGACTAAATATATCCCCTTTTCCTCCAAACCAGATGGTTTCCAGATTCCTCTGGAAAGAGCAGACTTGGGAGAGGGAAGCAGAGACCAAGAAGAGGACTATCCTCTCCTCTCCACTCTCCTCCTCTTTCCTGGTTCATTCAACGCAATACACAGAGCAAGTGTTCAAGAAGTGGCTGCAGTACAAGACCCCTCATTAATGGTCAATTTCAGCTACATTCAAGGACTTCATAAAGCCTGGATTACTGGGGCATGAGGTTTCCACTAAATCCCAGGGGCTTTTCATCAGGGAGAGGCAGAAGGCTCTGGCCCTGGGCCTCCCAAGCTGAACAGAATGACTAATGGGTCCTTATGCCCAGGACAGTGGGTCATGGAGGAGGGAGGTTACATTTTTAATGTTTTCTCTCCTTTTCTGATTAGCACAGCTTCCCTTTCTGCTTTCAGTAGTTCTCTGCATCTAGGAATAGAAAAAGCCTTTTTTTTTTCTTTTCATTAGACCTTGTCAGTTTTATTCCAGTGGGTTTTTTAAAAAATGAAATAACTTTACTGAGATATAATTCATATACCATACAATTAACCCATTAAAAATGTACAATTAGGGCTTCCCTGGTGGCGCAGTGGTTGAGAGTCCATCTGCCAATGCAGGGGACACGGGTTCGTGCCCCGGTCTGGGAAGATCCCACATGCCGCGGAGCGGCTGGGCCCGTGAGCCATGGCCGCTGAGCCTGCACGCCTGGAGCCTGTGCTCCGCAATGGGAGAGGTCACAACAGTGAGAGGCCCGCATACCGCAAAAAAAAAAAAAAAAAAAAAGTACAATTAAATTTTTTTAATATATTCAGAGTTGTGCAACCATCACCACGATTGATCTTAGAACATTTCATCATGCGCAAACGAAACTCCATGCTCATTAGCAGTTATGCCTCATTTCCTCCCAACCACCCCAGCCCTTGGCAACCAATCATGAATCCACTTTCTGTCTCTATGGATATGCCTATGTTGGATATTTCGTAACAATGGAATCATACAATATGTGATCTTTTGTGTCTGGCTTCTTTCATTTAGCATGTCTTCAAGATTCATCCATGTCATACAGTATATTAGTACTTTATTCCTTTCCATTGCTGAATAATAGTCCATTGCATGGCTATACCACATTTTGTTTATTCATTTGTTGATGGACATTTGGGTTGGATCCACTTTTTGGCTACGATGCATAATGCTTTGAAGGTTTGTGCGTAAGTTTTTGTGTAGACATGTTTTCATTTCTCTGGGGTATATATCTAGGAGTGGGGTTGATGCATTATATGGTAGCCTTATATTTAACCTTTTTTTAAAAAAAAAAGCCTTCTTAATACCCACAAATTTCAGTTTCCACACTTCATAGCTACATTTTCATCCATATGAAAATACAGGACACACACACCACCTACAGTGAATTCATTAACTTAAAAAATATTTTGATGGATCACAACATGAACAAACACTAAACGGCAGCACCCCTCTGGGAGAGAGGCAATGCTTGGCATACACCCTGACAAAGTCCCCTTGCAGGAACCCCACTGCCCCCAGGGCGGCAGCCCACTGGTACACACCTGTGAGCTGGATCACACTGAGGATTCCCAAAGCCAGCCATGAATGGCAGGAGCCAATCCCAGAGAAGCCAAAGGATAAATCTGTCACTGCTTTTCCTCTGTCCTCCCCTCTCCTCTCCAGGGCAGTCTCAGGACTAAAAGAAAAGAGAAGATGTGGCCACAAAGTTGATGGAGTTGAGGAATAGGTTCTGGGGGAGAAAGGACAGACTAGGATTAGAGCCCCAGGGGGTGTGGAAAATAGTAATAAAAGTCATACATGTAATTTAATATTTTCTAGCAGCCACATTAAAAAGATAAAGAGATAAAATTAATTTTAATGGTATAATTTTATTAACCCAATATATCCAAAATGTGAAGAAGTAGTCAATATAAAAATTATTGAGACATTTTTATATTTTCCTTTTCTTAGGAAGTCTTTGAAATCTGAGTGCATTTCACACTGAGAGAACATCTCAGTTTAGAATGGCCACATTTAAAGTACTCAAAATCCACATGTGGCCAGAGGCTACCATATTGGGCAGTGCATATGGGAGAGCAAAGAAATGAGGAGACTCTCCCTGAGTAGTGCCCAGCAGTCGGGGGGTGCAGGGAAGTGTGTTTCAGTAGACGCCCACCCTCCTGTGTCTGGACACCATTCCTGGAAGGCACACAGCTGCTGTCATCCCAGAGCCAACACTGAGCAGCTCTGGAGAACGTCCTGTGCAGAACTGGGACCCAGCCAGAAGCAGCACAGCAGTGTGCAGATGCCACGTGGGGCTCATGGACCAGATCCCAACCATGGAGGACTTGCATTTGGCTCCCACGTGTTTTTAAATCTCTTGAGTGGTTGTCGTTTTCATGACTTTACATTTCCTTCCTGGCTCCTGTAGACATTGGGGTATGTAACCCCTGCATAAGACCACGGTTCCTGAAGTCAGGCAGCCCTGCATGTTAACTTTGACTCTACCACTTTTTAGTTGACAACAGATACATTAAACTCTTCATATGTGTCTTTTACTATAAAATTGGAGGTAAGAATACTTCAGAGATGTATGATTTTAATGAGACAAGGAATTAATTGGCTAGTACAAAGGCTGGTGCATAATAAGCACTCAATAAATTGTGGCATTCATTTCTCATTCACAGACATGAATTCCTTAGAGTCCATACTATACTCCTCTTCCAGTATTGGAAAACTGGGAAGTACATGCACAGGACGAGTTCTTAAAAGCAGCCCCCACTTCTATACAATGACATTGAGGAATGGCTTCTGTGCTCACAATTTTAAGGCAGTCTGTTTCCCTTCTCTGTTGCCCACCAGTATGGCTCTATTGAATTAAGCATTCCTCAGTACCGAGGCATTGAAAAGACTGATTTCCAGGAATAAAAGGGGAAAGCTAACAATGACACCAAGGGCCCCTCCTGCTAACCTCCATGCTGGTTCCAAGGTCGAAGTCTCTGGGGATCTGGGCATTGGATGCTGCAGATAAAGGATAAGATATTAATGAACAACTTGGCCATTGTTCAACCCTAATTTTTGCTTTCTGTTTTTGCTTTTTATGGGGAAATTAAGAGGCTGGGACTTAAAAGAAGCATCTAAACAAGCTTGATGGTCCCATCATGACCCTCTAGCCTGGAGCTCAGGCTTCTTCACCATTCCTACCCGCCCCATGCAGTGTGCTTCTAACTCAGGAATGTAAGTGGCAGCAAAAGTGGGCAGCCCGCCACAGGGCACAAAAGCCCTGGAAGGGGGGAAACTACGGAAGATTCTTTCTTCCCAGTTCTCTCTTTTCCCATCACCCCTTCCCACTGTTTTTTTTTGTTTGTTTTTGTTTTTTTGCCACACCGCGCGGCACGTGCGATCTTAGTTGCTCAACGAGGGATCAAACCCACGCCCCCTGCGTTGGAATGGCAGAGTCTTAACCACTGGACTGCCAGGGAAGTGTCCCACTTCCCACTGTTTAATGCACATCTGCTTCTTCATTCCTTTCTGTGATTCATTATTAATGATTATGTGCTCAGCACTGTACCAGGCATTTTGATCCTCTTCCTGTTTTCCAGAATAACTCCTGTCCCTCCACCCCTTTTTCTTTTGCATTACTCTTGTTTCCCGTGTACTATCTCTAAGAGTCACTCCACATTTCACTCTAAAAGAACAGAACTGGCTCCTTCTTCTATAGTAAATAATACAAGTTGGTCCTCAGGGGATGAGGAGAAAAGGGACAGTTTGAGCAGCACCTAGGGAGCTAACACAGCTCAAGAGGAGCACATGGGCAGGTAACGGAGCAAAGACAGCAGCAGAGTTCTTATTTCTATTCCGAATTTAAGTAATTCCTTTGTTATCAAAAATAACTATGTCAGCATCAATAAGCTGCTGATTATAAAATGTATCCTTGGCAGAGAGAGAAAGAATTAACATTGAATGGATACTTGCCATCTGCCAGGCACTGTGTAAGGCTAGTGGTTCTCAGTATTTAGTGGTCAAGGACTCCTCTGGGATTCTTGTGGAAGCTCTGAAATCTCTCCCTTAGAAAAATTCAAACATACACAAAATTTTACATAGAATTACAGGAGCAAAAGATTCCTGAAGCACAATCACAGACTCCAGATTAAAACCTTTTACGCTAAGTCCTTACCTCTGAGAGCATGGCATCATTGAGACGACATTGTTATCCCCACCTTACAGAGGAGGGAACATGCCCAAGCCCATATACATAAGTGGCAGAAACAACATTTCAACCAGAGTTGTCTAAACACTACAACTTGCTGGCCTAGATGAAAATGTCACTTGGTTTTTACTGTTACTATAAATATCACTCCTTATTTTTAAACGAGGAAATAAAGATTATGTGTGAAACTAAAATCTGTGCAAAGCATTCTAGACTCAGCCAAGGGAAATCAGGAAGCTCAAAATTCCCGGAGGTTCCAATCCCATTTCCTATCAGCCAAAAGCCCTACTCCCCCTGAACCCACCCACCCAGCTGGAAAACAAACCAAAGACGCACTTTTCTTAGATTTCATATTCCTCAGAACAAGAGGCAACCTCTATCATAATAGCTCAATTAAACTCAAAAAAAAATTTTTAAGAGGCAACCTCTCTTTAAAATAATCCATCAAGGACTTCCCTGGTGGCTCAGTGGTTAAGAATCCGCCTGCCAAGGCAGGGGACACGGGTTCGAGCCCTGGTCCCGGAAGATCCCACATGCCGCGGAACAACTAAGCCTGTGTGCCACAACTACTGAGCCTGCGTTCTAGAGCCCACGAGCCACAACTACTGAAGCCTGCGCACCTAGAGTTCATGCTCCACAACAAGAGAAGCCACCGCAATGAGATGCCCACGCATTGCAACGTAGAGTAGCCCCCGCTCGCCACAGCTAGAAAAGCCCACACGCAGCAACAAAGACCGAACGCAGCCAAAACTAAATAAAATAAAATAACTTTATTAAAAAATAATAATAATCCATCAGTCAAATGTGAATTAAGAGACCAGTCAAAGCCTATAGATATGAAACAAAAGAAATTTAATTTCAGAATATTACATGAATATAAAAGAAAAACAACGCATATGTTTCTTTACAGTTACATATATATATAAATATATATATATGATATAGTTGAATAAGAATGAAAAATAAAAAATGGTTAGACAGTTAAGAAACCTTGTTTCTCTTGTTGAGCAAGCTTGGGGATAGCAAAAAGGCAATCCTTGCTATGAAGAAAGGACCCTGGGGCAGGAGTGTTTTTCCCAACCAGTTCTGCTGGTCCCCAAACATGTCCGGGGGAGTGCTCAATGGCTCTTTAGCACCTGCTGTGGCCACGCACACTCCAGTTTCCATGGTAACCCAAGCACTCAGGCTATTAAGTACTTACTCCACCTCCTTGCTAGCCCACGCATCCACTCTCCACCTGTGGAAGGAGTTCAGCATTACCTGTCTAGGAAAGCCAGCTCTCCTATAGTGAGTCTTAGATTGGATTAATTACTACTGGTCTGAAAAGCTTGTGCATCTTAGAAACCCAAATCTTCCCCAAATTCTAGAGCAATCCTGCCAATTGCTAGTATCCAGTTTGGATCAAGGTCCTGTCTTCAGTACCAAGGCTTCCAGATGCAGGAGGGCAGGGATGAGGCTCTCTCCTGGGGAAAGGAGTTCTACTTAGAAAAGACTTCAGAATGAGAGCCATCAGTTTCAAGCATCTGTGCAAGGCCCTGTATGAAGGAAGCAGACAAAGTCCAGAGAAGTCATTCCCAAGATGGCTTCCCCAGTTATGCATGGCCACACAGCTAGTCACTCTGGGACCACAGGTTCTCCTAGAAGGCAGTGTTTTAAACCGTATCCTAACACAGGTTTCTGTGAGAAAAGCTGAACAGAAACACTGCTGTTCCAGAGGAGAGAATGGCCCTGCTCTGACACTCTGGAACCACTGGCTTTCTTACAAGCCAGCAAAACAGCCACCTCTGGAACACCCAGTGGTCAACAGTTAACCCTATACTACTCCATTTCCCAAGGGTACCCCCTCGTCATTCCTAACTCTGGAAAGACATTCAGGGTAACGAGCTTGTGGAGGATCAACTGCGGTTTCAGTTATGATCAGATACCACCTCCTTTAATGTGTTTTGGCACTCAGGTACAATCAGTATCACCTAATCCTCTATTCACTGCTGCAATGGAGTCTTTCAAACCAGATTCATTGGTCCCAGTGCAAAAGTCAACCATTGTAAAAGGTTAGAAACTCCAGTGCCCATGGTTTTCACTGATTCAACCAGTATAGCTCGCCCAGTACAGATGTGAATCAAGGAAGTGGTCTGCATTTTTTATGCTTGAGCCCTCTGGCATAAATACACTGCCCCATAGTGATATCACATCAAAACCCATTGCAACTGACCCCAGAAAGAAATGAAATTTTAAAAGCAACAAGAGGCATTTCCAAAGAGATTGTTCCAACACAAAAAATAAACATAGAAAACAGAGTTTTAAAATATTATAGATTTTAAAAATTGTTAAATACTGGCTCAAAAATATCTGCCCACCAAGTCAGAAGGGCAACAGTACCCTTCTGGAGCAAATGCTAAAGGGTTTTTGTTTTTGCAAAGATTCCGCAGGATTAAAATAGTTACATATTATAAGGCAGAAGGTTACTCTGTTTATTTCTCAAATTTGGATTCCAACTAGTTCACAGCTTCTGTTAAAAAAGAAAAAAGAAGGAAAAGACCTATCATACCCTTACAGCAAGGGAAATCATATTTAATAAATACTTTAATGAAACACACATACCCAAATACCCAAATAAACTGCCCAAGCAGGCAAGCTATATAAAAGCATGTGACAGACATCTCTCACCACCCCAGCCCTGGAACACGAACCTGGATTACCAGTTGCATTCAACCAAAGAAAGTCTCCTAAATCTCAGCTACCTCCCTTAAACAGAACCACAGAACAAACTCAATGACAAGGAGGTATCAGGTCACTGCTCTGCTCTCTCCACCTATGCCAGACCATGTTTAACAGACCACACCACTACGGAATGAGACACTTAGACAAATAAAGAAAGCAAGTATCAAGTTAAGGGAGAACACACTTTAGCCTAGGGGCTTTCCTGATGGCGCAGTGGTTGAGAGTCCGCCTGCTGATGCAGGGGACACAGGTTTGTGCCCCGGTCGGGGAAGATCCCACATGCCACAGAGCGGCTGGGCCCGTGAGCCATGGCCGCTGAGCCTGCGTGTCCGGAGCCTGTGCGCCGCAACAGGAGAGGCCACAACAGTGAGAGGCCCGCGTACCGCAAAAAAAAAAGAAGAAGAACCCTACACAAATGAACTTGCTAATAAGTATTTTTAAGAATTATATAAAACTGCTCTAGAGAAAGGGGCTTCTGAGCAGTTTTATACTCCTAACCATCTATTGTTCACAATCTATCAAGTTGGACAGCCAAATTTTACATTTTTCTCTACTACTGCTGTTACAGCAGCAGAAGAAACAGAAAATACGGAAGCCAGGACTGACATCCGGATGCAAAACCAAACTGTGCTCCCCAGACTCATCTTTTGTTTCAGCAACACCACAGCATTTCAACTGTTTAAAAATAGGTCAGCAAGTCATGGTTTGCTGGGCAACTGCCCCCCCACTGAGGCCTGACTCAGTTCTGGCACACAGGGTGAAAAAGGTTACACACCTAACAGAGCAGGCACAGACTAACATTCCCACCTGCCCTGCTGCTCTCTGGGCAGTGAGTTCTCACACTAGATCAGAGCCATGCCACTGCTCACCTCAAACACATGTGAACATCCCAACACGGTCAAAGCTCCAGCCCATCTCCAAACTACTCCCTATGCCCATCTTGACAAGGAGAGGGGTGGGCCAGCAGCCACCCCTGAACATGGGTGATAAACCACAACTGCTTCCAAATAAGACCATTGTCTACTTTAAATCTCTCAGCCCTGTGGAGACTGATGCTCACTTCCTCCCTCTGACTCCAGCTGGCTCTCAGGAGACGGTCCAGCCTGCACACCTGATCCCTTAGAAGGATGCAATATAATCCCACCCATCAAGAGTTGTCCTGGCCATAAAGCCAGCCCCATCCTAGTCCCTCTCCAGAGCTTCCACTACATACAGGAGTTTCAGCAAGTCTCAAGTAAGCTGTTGGTGATATTCCTTGAGTCCCAGTGATTTGTCACAGAAGTACTGGCACCACCCTGGCACCAGAGCTGTTTTAGGCGAGAGGAAACTGAATGAAGGAAAGGAGTTCAGCAACCACACAACTATTTTTTTTGCGGTACGCGGGCCTCTCACTGTCATGGCCTTTCCCATTGCGGAGCACAGGCTCTGGACGCGCAGGCTCAGCGGCCATGGCTCACGGGCCCAGCCACTCTGCGGCATGTGGGATCTTCCTGGACCGGGGCACGAACCCGCGTCCCCTGCATCGGCAGGCGGACTCTCAACCACTGCGCCACCGGGGAAGCCCCACACAACTATTTTGACATCACTGAGGAAAGGGGAAGAGAGGAAAGGAGAGAGAATGGAGGGAGGGAAGAAGGGCCACAGTTTAATATTATTTGTTTAAATATTGTATCATTCTGAATTCTCCTTTTTTGATACTGCAGGCCAAATACCTACAATCTCAGGCCCAAGAAATAATAAAAGAATTTCCAGGAAAGCTATAAATTCTTTGTACAAAAATAGGTATTGAGGAGTAAAGCCTCATAAGTTAAAGAGCTTTCCCAAAGCTTAAGGTGAAAAAGAGAGGAAAGACATCTGGCTTAGAGCCCATTTTGATTTTTTACCTTTTAAAATACACAAACAACAAATAAACAAGAAACAATAACCAAAACATCTCCCAAAACTATCAAAATAGAGAAAAGCCCAAGCTATCAGTTAAAAATAACATCAATCCACCAGGATTGACAGCACTTTTTAAAAAAATCACTGGCAGTTGAGCACAGATTTCAAATATTTTAAAAATAGAATCTGCCTAAACAAATACATGGAATGAGCACAGGAGTCTGCCTGGTTCTACTCATTTACTGTGCTGTCTACGCCGATTTGGCTGGTTAGTGGTTTCCCCATAACGTTTTTTTTAAAGAGAGAGAGTCGCTAGCACTGGTTCAGCAGGCAGAGTCTGTAGATGTCACCCACTTGAGTGGGGCTAGAGGCGTCAGTCAAGTCACAGGATTAGTTGGCTTTCACAATTCAACATGCAGCAAGCAAGCTGCAAGTCCAAGCTTCTCTGTGAGTGGTAATGGCACCTGGCCCACAAAAGAGAAAATTCTGGGTGGACAACAGGAAACCTCTGGATCCTTCAGAGGAATCCTAGGCTGAAAGAGAAAAAGGAGCATTAAACACATTTATAAATATTTATTTCTGCAAACATTCCACCCAAAAGCTAGAGAAATCTATACTTATTATTTTCTAAACTGAGGGAGAATTGTTTACTCTCTACCAAGTACACATCACTTTGTCCTCCTGCTCTAATCTCAGTTCATTAAATCATCTTAATGGCAGTAACAGCTACCTGTACTAAGTGCATATTTTGTGCTAGGTGTTGCTCTGAGTTCTTTATGTATATTGCCTCATTTACCCTCACAACAACCTGTGCATGAGGTAATGCTCTTGCTATTTTACAGGTGAAGAATGTGAAGCCTACACAAATAAACTTGCCCTAAGATATACAGCTATTAAGGCTGGGAACTGAGGTTAAGAATCCGCCTGCCAGTGCAGGGGACACGGGTTCGAGCCGTGGTCCGGTAAGATCCCACATACCGCGGAGCAACTAAGCCTGTGCACCACAACTACTAAGCCTGCGCTCTAGAGCCCACAAGCCACAACTACTGAGCCCACGTGCCACAAGTACTGAAGCCCGCGGGCCTAGAGCCCGTGCTCTGCAACAAGAGAAGCCACTATGATGAGAAGCCCGTGCACCGCAATGAAGAATAGCCCTGGCTCACCACTAGAGAAAGCCCGCGCACAGCAATGAAGACCCAACACAGCCAAAAATAAAAACAAATAAATTAATTAATTTAAAAAAAATTTTTTTAATTAAAAAAAAAGGCTAGGAACTGAATCCAAGCTTAACTGAATGCAAAGCTCATGTTCTTACCACCACTACACCTCTCACCAGCGAATGTTTACTAAATGCCTACTAGATGCAAGGCAGTCATTACTGGGGGGAAGAGAAGAAGACGGGGGCCACGAATATATTAAGTCTGGCCTTTGTCTTCCAGAAGAGAAACTAGCTACAGCGATAAGACAATACATGTGAAGCAAATATCTATGATAAATCACATTAAATGTCAACATTTTAGTAATGTCAATAAGAGTTCAAAGGAAAAGCTATATCTGTCTGGGTTAGCCAAAGAAGGTTTTGAAGACGAGGTAGGGTTTAGGCTGGGCTTTGAACAATGGGTAAGATTCTGACTGCTGAAAATAATGCCCATTAATAAGTAGGTGCTGAATCAGTAGTTCTCATCAGGGATTGATTTTGCCCCCTCCCATGAAGGGGACATTTGGAAATGTCTGGAGGCATTTTTGGTTGTCACAATTCGGGGAAGGGTGCTACTGGCATCTAGTGGGTAGAGACCAGGGATGCTAAATATCATACAATGCACAGGACAGCTCCCCACAACAAAGAATTATCTGACCTAAAATGTCGATAGTGCCAGTTGAGAAACTCCATGCGAAATAAATGTCTTTGGGAGTACACTATTGATGATAATAAAATTGCATTATCTTCTTCAAAAAATACTTGTTCCTGGGCTTTCCTGGTGGCGCAGTGGTTGAGAATCCGCCTGCCAATGCAGGGGACACGGGTTCGAGCCTGGTCCAGGAAGATCCCACATGCCGCGGAGCAACTAAGCCCGTGCCCACAACTACTGAGCCTGCGCTCTAGAGCCCGTGACCCACAACTACTGAGCCCATGTACTGCAACTACTGAAGCCTACGTGCCTAGAGCCCATGCTCTGCAACAAGAGAAGCCACCACAATGAGAAGCCCACGCACCACAACGTGAGTAGCCCCCGCTCGCCGCAATTAAAGAAAGCCTGTGCACAGCAAGGAAGACCCAACACAGCCAAAAATAAATAAATAAAATAAATATTTTTTTTTTAAAAATACTTGCTCTTTTTATAAAATCACCATCAAAAAAATCTTGGATTGTATTCTTTATGTAAAACAAATAGATGGCAGGCACTTGGATCTGGGGGCTTGGAGACTGAACAGAGTTCAGATCTGGAGGTGCAGGCTTGGGAGCAGATATCAAACAGAGAACAGAACTGAGCTGCAGAAGGAGACCAAACTGCTAAGAGGGGGACAAGCAAGAGCAGGAACAAGCAGAGAATTTAAGACAGAGCACTGAAAAACATGAAGAGGTGGAGGGGGAGGCAGACAATAGTAAAGCACTGCAGAGATGAAAAAAATTAAAGAGGAAGGAGGAGAAGGAGAATAGTGTGAAGTCATGACAGCCACAGGTGTTCCTAGTTAGAGGAAGTGAGCAGGGAGAGGGTAATGTGAAAATGCCACTGCTTAATCCAGTGGGAGGTCATTCATTATCTGTGGGCCTCCACTTTTCTGAATCACTAACATTTTTAAGAATCTTATAAAAACTATATAATCTCTCCTCCAGAAAAATGTACATATGCACCTACACATAAAATTCCATCAACAATACCAGGAACTTTATTAGAGCCCTTAGGAAGTCCACAGTTAACAGGAAGAATCCTGCTCTAAAACGTCTTGGTAAAATATTAAACTGACTTTTTTTTTTTTTTTTTTGGCTGCGTTGGGTCTTTGTTGCTGCGCGCGGGCTTTCTCTAGTTGCAAGCAAGCAGCGGCTACTCTTCGTTGCAGTGCGCAGGCTTCTCATTGTGGTGGTTTGTTGCAGAGCATGGGCTCTAGGCACGCAGGCTCAGTAGTTGTGGCACACAGGCTCAGTAGTTGTGGCACACGGTCTTAGTTGCTCTGCGGTATGTGGGATCTTCCCAGACCAGGGCTCAAACCCGTGTTCCCTGCATTGGCAGGCGGATTCTCAACCACTGCACCACCAGGGAAGTCCTGACTTATTTTTTTAATGCATTTCTTTCTTCCAAAAGTAGAGCTGTCGACATAGAAAGACATTTCTTGATTATCTTCAAAAATGAAAGCAAGAAAAGGTGTAATTGATACAATGTATCCTTCAAAAATAACTTATGCTGGGACTTCCCTGGTGGTTCAGTGGTTAAGAATCCGCCTGCCAATGCAGGAGACACAGATTTGAGCCCTGGTCCGGGAAGATCCCACATGCCGCAGAGCAACTAAGCCTGTGCGCCACAACTACTGAGCCCATGTGCCTAAAGCCCGTGCTCCGCAACAAGAGAAGCCACTGCAATGAGAAGCCTGCGCACTGCAACGAACACCCAACGCAGCCAAAAATAAAAATTACTTATGCTTGGTTTTGACTTATGAAGATACAGGTAGAAATATTCAGACACAGAATCCAAACGCCAAACTTACCTCAATCAGACAGCCCAGCCTAGAAGCCAGAGGCAACAATGAAAGAAAAGAGAGTTCAGATAATTCACTCAAGGATAAGTAAGAAGACCACACTGAAATCTAACTTCCTATAAAAGAATAAAGATTTATCTATAAGGATTGGGCTTGTGTTCTCTTTCTATTGCTGATGTCTCAAATAGTAATTATGCTCATATCTCTGGTAAAATGAGCATATCAGACCAGAGATCGCTTCATCTGCAACACAAGCCTTATAAAACAAGACCAAGCCTCACCCAGTTTTCTTCAGTAACAATTACTACTACTTGTTAATGCTTTAACAATCACAATGTGCTTCCAAAACATAATTTCAATTGAGCCTCATAAGAAATCTGGGAAGTAGATATAACTATTATCCCCATTTGCAGAGGAAGAAGTAGGCTGAGAATGAGTGGTTTTCCCAGGCCAGAGGAATGATGCCTCAAATTAGGTCTAACTACAAATCCCCTGGCCTTTCCAGTTAGCCACATGGCTTCCTCAGAGGAAAGCACAGCAGCCACTGCACTTCACCAACTGAGCCTCCGACAATCAGCAGTCACAGCACTAAATAATCCTTTTTACCCTAAATATCCTCAAAAACATATTGTATGATATGATTTCCAGGGTCCTTCAGCATGAGCTGTTTATCTGGAAAGCTTTATTGAATAAACAAAGCTAAAGTCTGCGCAGAAAAGGAACATAACTATTCCATGTTTACTGAACATCTTCTCAGCACTCCTGTACTTGGTTTCACAAGTTAGTTTACACTTGCTTTTAATTTGCTTAACAAGTATTCTTAAGATATTTTTCACGTGTCCCATCTGTCCAAGAATGCAGGGACCGTGTGGGTCTGTGTTCACAGCTCTGCCCCTCAGCACCTGGGACAGTGCTGAGTAGTTGCTCAATAACCATCTGCTAAATGAACTCAAGGGCAGGACCCAGCCTTATAATTTTTACATCTCTTCTGACTACAACCATACCACACTGGGAATTCAAAATATGCTACTGACTAGAGACAGAAAGGAACTACATTAATAAGACACACAGAATAAGTACAATTAGTACCTTTTTTCCCCTCTTTCTTCCCCTCAGACCATTTCAGTCTTGTTGGTGTCATCATGACAGCTGGAGAGCCAGAAAATGACTGTGACAAGAAAATTTTATAGTGGCTTAAATGTCCTAATGTCATTTCTATAGACAGACTTTACTAACAGAGGAATTATTTACTTTTTCAATTTCAATATGAAGAGTTTTACCAACGTATTTAGATCTCATTAATCTTAACTGTTTTATTTCTGGCTTAATGAAGTAACCATTCTTGGGATAACCTGAAGGACCACTCCACACGTACTGCAGTGCCGAGCAGGCCTGGCTCAAATGTTACCCACCCTGTGGAGTCTCCCAGTAAGAACTGCTCCCTCCAGCACTTTGTGTGTGGAGCTATTTCACTGCATTTGTCATTTCTGCTTATGACTGGCTATATCTTCCTTGAACTCAAAATGTTTGTTGAATGAATCAATGAAAACCTACAGAAAGAAGTCAGCATAAATGAAAAGACTGGGGAAAAGGCATAGTTGAATATGGCCCAAAGAAACACAGTAAAACAGACGACAGTATATTAATTTTCTTCCTTTCTATAAATGAACACATACAAAGAGAAAGTACAAAGAATAGTATCTTACTAAATTTATATTTTCTTTGCTGGCTCTCTTCAATTCATCAATGGCTACCGATTCTGGAGTAGGGTACTTGTTTTTCTCTTCTGACATCATCTGATTTCCCAGGACCTTCCGCTGATTTAGGAAGAGAAAATATTTGATTTATAAACATCTACAATATCTATATTATAATTACCCTGGTCTTCAAAACTATAGTTTCTTAGGTTAAAAAAATCTCAGCTCTTTGATAAATTCCCCCAGGCATCTTATACAAGAGAGGTCAAAGCATGTTACTAAAAAACCTGAGATCACTGCCTTTCTTTAGGTGATCACTATTCCTCTTTAAACAAATTAAAGGGCTGAAATGTTAAAAGCAACTTTCTAGTTGATTTAAACCAACTAATACAGGCCAATTACAGTGCTCCTGAGGCCATAAAAGAAACACCAGTTACCTACCAGTATAATTGTTTCCCTAAAGACATATTGTCTCTGGCACCTTTTAAGAGTCCCCTCCTCCCCCTCCCCACTAAAAGACACTTACACTGGGTCTACTCAAAGATTCTGCTTCCCTGTCATGTCCTCCTCACACAGGACTGGAAAATTTGGAGAAATTCTCTAAGAGTTTCTAGTACAGCCATAAAAGGGTACGGGCCTTCTTAAAAGGGTCACATGACTATACTGATATTCAGAGCAAGACTAAAAGCCCTTTCATCTCTGAACAGCTTAAAAGCTAATGTAACCTACTGTATCAGTTGACAGTGACAATTCTACCATCTTTGAAGAAATCTTTCTTTTTTCCCCTTAGAGAATAAATTTGAATTCCAAAAAAAGGAACATATCAAAACTAGAACATTAAACTTTAAAATATAAATATTAGTAGGAATATTCTGTAATAAATCATTTACATGAGATGAATTTTGGAGGAAAAAAAGTCTAGCCAAAAACAAAGTATCAAAGCAGGATAGAAATCAAACAGCTAAAACACAGAAGTGCTAGAAAAATAAGGCCAGTACATCTTCCTTTCACAAGTCAGATATCACCTCAGAGTAAGCTGAACTGGGGATACCAGGAGCCACAGGACTAGCTATAAAAGCTAAAATTCAGCTTCCAGTGAATTTTTTAACAGAAATTTCATTACTCCTTTGCTATCGAGCAGAAACCTGCATCTATTATTAGCTTGAAAGTCTCTTCATTTATAATGAAAACAGTTTACCCTTCTGTCCTATAAAACTTGCTAACATTGTGTTTAAAATTATTTTTCTAAAATGTTTTCTCCTGATACAATTATAAACTCTTTTATAACTCTAAAGTTCTAAATGCTCTGAAGAGGGCAGCTGCCAAGAAGGATACTATATTTTTACATTTCAAGCAATAATTAGCAACACTTCTAGAACCAACTGCAGGAGAAGAGCTCACTATGAAGAGAAAACCATACCCATCTAACTTCAGTTAAAGAAACATGTTTGACTAACACACAGAGAAACACTTATTGGACTGTAACTTTTCTTGTTACCAATCATCTCTATGACAGGAAGTCAGAGGGAATGACAGACTTCCAAGTAAAATGAACCAAGGATGCTCATTTTACTTGCCACGTCTAAGCAGGTGAATACACTTTTGGGGTTCTAGCAAAGGGAATTTTTTTTAATTATGGTAAAATATACATAACATAAAATTTATCATTTTAACCATTTTCAGGTGTACAGTTCAGTAGTGTAAAGTACAGTCATATTGTTGTGCAACCATCACCACATCCCAGAAATTTTTCATCTTCCCAAACAGAAACTCTGTACCCATTAAACAATAATCCCAATTCCCCCCAGACCCTTAGTCCCTGACAACCACCATTCTACTTTCTGTTTCTATGGATTTGACTACTGTAGGTACCTCATATAAGTGGAATAATACAATATTTGTTCTTTTGTGACTGGCTTATTTCACTTAGCATGATGTTCTCAAGCTTAATCTATGTTGTAGCATGTGTCGGAACTTTCTTCTTTTTTAAGGCTGAGTACTGTTCCATTGTTCATATATACCACATTTTGTTTATCCATTCATCCATCAACGAACACTTGAGTGGCTTTTGCCTTTTGATTGTAAATAATGCCACTACAAACATGTATACAAATATCTGTTCATATCCTTACTTGGAATTGCTTGATTATATGGTAGTTCTATTTTTAGTTTTTGAGGAACTGCCATACTGTTTTCCATAGTGGTTGCACCATTTAACATTCCCACCAACAGTACACAAGGGTTCCAATTTCTCCACATCCTTACCTTGCTATTTTCTGTTCTGTTGATAATAGCCATCCTAGTGAGTGTGAATTGTTATCTCATTGTGGTTTTCATTTGCAGTTCCTTAATGATAAGGGATATTGAGCGTTTTTTTAATCTTCTTCAGAAAAATGCCTATTTAAATCCTTTGCCTTTTTTTTTTTTTCTTTTGGGCCATGCTGTGCAGCATGTGAGATTTCAGTTCCCTGACCAGAGATCAAACCCATGTCCCCTGTAGTGGAGGCGTGGAGTCTTAACCACTGGACCACCAGGGCAGTCCCTGCACATTTTTTTTTTTAATCCACACTTTTATTTATTTACTTTTCAGTAAGTTTAAATCCTTGAAGGGTACAGCATCACATGGATTCTGTGTCCAATGGCCTTAGCAGGAAGGTTGCTTTGGAATTTGGCTCAAACCATGCCACTGTTTCCATGAGCACGAGTTATCTTTTCCCAGATTACTCTGGTTTTGTTAGGTTTTCCACCAGGAGTTACTGTGTTGTTCTTTGCTTTGTACACGTAAGCACATCTCTTGACTAGATAGAATTCAGTTTCATCTCGAGCATATACACCTTCCATTTTCAGAAGAGCTGTGTGCTCCCTCTGGTTCCATAGATCCCGCTATAGCCAGCAAAAATGGCCTTGGACCACAGCCTTCCAGACATATTTGTCATTTTAGAAGTCCTGTTCCCAGCAGGCCTCCACAGGGTCCAAGATGGCTGAAAAAGGCCCTGCGCATTTTTTAATATGGATTGATTTTCTTTGCTGTTGTTGTAAGAGTTCTTTTTATATTCTGGATATTAACCGCTCATAAGATATATATTCTGTAAATATTTCCTCTCATTCTGTGAGTTGCCTTTTCACTCTGTTTGATGTCAAGCAAACCTAATGTCCCAAGGCTACTGGCCCCAGTGGATAGGATTGAGTGAATTCTAAACTGCTATTAATGATAATAACTACAACCAAAATTAGAGTAAGATGAAGTTGCAACTGCTAACAACTACAGTTTAAAAAATACACACACACACATATATATACATATATATATATATATACACACATATATATATATTACAAGGTATTTTTTTTAAGAGCACAACTTTTAAGCAAAGATCTCCTTAATGTTGCTGGATTTATAAATTTTAATAATGTTAAACAATTTTAAAAAGAAAACCTGTAGAACACAGAACAGTGCTAATCTCTCTCCAAGTTAACTAGTTAGAACCTTGCCTTTGTTTATGCCTGGAAATTTGAACCCCATAATCAGCTATCTACTGCCACCTGCTGGCAATATTCCTTAACTACAAGTTCAGATCATCAATGAAGACTCAAATAAATTGAACCTACAGACAGCGATGGTAGCAACACCACAGAAGTACATATTGCATTTGTTTTAAAAACAAGATTTTTAAAGAATTTGAGACAAAGGAAGAGAACAAAACAACTGATCAAAATATTAAGCTCACAAAAATCTGAGTTACCTAAAACTCATTAGCCTATTAGAAAACCCATTTCCAGTCTCTGTCAACTTTCTCACTTTTCCATAACTTTAGCAAATTGCACAATGAAGTATGTAGCACAAAGCAGGTCATGAACCAAAAGAGATTCTCTACTCAGGGATGAGGACTCTGTCCTCAGCCCCAGAAGAGACAAAAGGACCTTTATTTCCTTTATCCCTTACTTCTCCAATCATAGAGCCCCTTCTCTGATTTGAAACACAGAAAAATGCTTTGAAAAATAAAAGCTTTTCCAAATTCTATTCTTTTCCCCTTACAAGTGAAGCCTTCATAGAATCCCAAAGAACAGAATAAAACTGTTTATGCATAAGAAGAGTCAGACTGTTAAATTTTCTCACGATCAATGCTGAAAATGACAGCACAGTGTACCTACCTTAATAAGGCCACTGAAGGACCGTGAACGGGCCCTCTTCTGCACCCGGAGGGTAGAAGGTTCTCGTCCTGGTGTTTGGGTCTCAGAATGCTTATTAAACTAGAAGAAAATATAAAGAACATTTTGTTAGTAGTCTCCCATCAAGAGATAGCATTCTGTGACAATCAATAGCTAAGTGGAAATACCCAGAAAAGCCCAGGAATAAGTGAATCTGTACATACATGGATTAGTAGGTTGGCAAGCAAATCACAAAGGCAAAAATTATGCCACCAAGAAGAAGTCAAAATGTATTAAATTAGCCTGAAGGTAAATTAAATTAAATAAAATAATACACACCCCAAAACAATCAAATTGGAATCAGATCAAGCTTCTAGAATTAGATCTAACTACCAGTTTATAGCAAATACAGAGGACTAAGAAACATCTTAAGTAATACCACAGGGATGCAATCAGCAAAATCCAGACTGTGGGAGACAAAGAATCTGGTTTCTTTCACAAACAAAGTGCAAAGAGAGAGAGAGGATGGTTTATGTGTGTTTAAATGCAATGTGCTATCTGTATTGGATCCTAGAACAGAAAAAGGATATTAGTGTTAAAACTGGTAAAATCTAAACAAAGTCTGTAATGTTACTAGTAATGTACTAATGTTAATTTATTAGTTTTGACAACGTTAGCATTAGGAGGAACTAGGTGAAGGATATGTGGGAATTCTGTACTTTCTTTGCAATTTTTCTCCCAACCTAAATTATTTCAAATTGAAAAGTTTATTCAAACAAACTTCAGCAATTTTTAGGGAGGAGAAAAATAGGAGGGGAAAGAAGGATGGACCTATATATTAAAAGAAACCTAGTAGCTGTAACAGCTCCAGAAAACGCATACCCTTTGGTCATGCCACTTCTAGAAAATAATCTGCAATGAGAATACTTATGAACAAATATGTATAAACTAAAAAATGACCTAATTTCTTTTTTTTTTTAATTTATTTATTTTTGGCTGTGTTGGGTCTTCGCTGCAGCGCACGGCCTTCTCATTGCAGTGGCTTCTCTTTTTGCAGAGCACGGGCTCTAGGTGTGCGGACTTCAGTAGTTGTGGTGCACGGGCTTAGTTGCTCCACGGCATGTGGAATCTTCCCAGACCAGGGATTGAACCCGTGTCCCCTGCATTGGTAGGCGGATTCTTAACCACTGTGCGACCAGGGAAGTCCCCAAAATGACCTAATTTCCCCTAATATGTCCAGTAGAGGACAAACTGTATATATATATCAGGTTATATATAATAAAATATATGCAACCATTAAAAATGTTTACAGTCTTTTAATGACATGGAAAATGCTCTGATATAATGTTATATGAAAAGGGCAGGATAGGGCTTCCCTAGTGGCGCAGTGGTTGAGAGTCCGCCTGCCGATGCAGGAGACACGGGTTTGTGCCCCAGTCCGGGAAGATCCCACATGCCACGGAGCGGCTGCGCCCGTGAGCCATGGCCGCTGAGCCTGCGCGTCCGGAGCCTGTGCTCTGCAACGGGAGAGGCCACAGCAGTGAGAGGCCCGCGTACCGCAAAAAAAAAAAGGGTAGGATATTTTAAAAACTGCATATGTATTATGATCTCAATAAACAAAAAAAATATGAAATACATATTCATGGAAAGAAATACAAGAAGGAAATACTCCAAGATGTTATCAGTGGTTATCCTGGATGATAACAGGTGATTTTTTAATTTCTTCTTGACACTCTTCTGGAGGTTTCAATGTTTCTGTAGTGAGTACTCATTATTTTTATAATCATGGAGAATAAATTATGTATAATCATCAAGAACAATAAAAGTATAGTTTCTTCGAAAATAAATGGCAATATTTTAAATGTATGTGAGGAGTTTGTAAGCATGCATGAGAAAATGCTTAGGCTGTAATGTTTAATGAAAAAGGGAGAAATAAAAGAAAGTATATGCTATGATCATAACTACGTCAAAATAGTGCCTTGGCCAAAAAGTTCGTTCAGGTTTTTCCGTATGGAAAAACAAATTTTTCCATATTGCGTTGGCCAACTAACTTTTTTGTCCAATCCAATATATCCACAGGAAAAAGACTGAAAGAAATACCCAATATGTAAACACTGGTAGGATGAGTGATTTATTTTCTTTTAATCCTTCTCTATAATTTCCTATTTTTCTAAAAAGAGCAAAACTAATGTTTTTTCCTTTGTATAATCTTTAACCCTCAGTGTTCTTGATGAGGGAAGTCATTTACACCTGTCCTACCTGAATTACTGGCTTAGTTTCTACCAAGAATTAAATCACTACACTGCTTTAAATCTGTAATACTACTTGGCCAACACCCTCTAAAATTCCAGTCATAGCACAGTTTGCTAGATCTCAAAATAACTTTAAAGAGAGTGACAAAGGGAATTCCCTGGTGGTCCAGTGGGTAAGACTCCGTGCTCCCAATGCAGGGGGCCCAGGTTCAATCCCTGGTCGGGGAACTAGATCCCACATGCATGCCGCAACTAAGAAGCCCACATGCTGCAACTAAGACCCAGTGCAGCCTAAATAAATAAATATTAAAAAAACAAAACAAAGAGAGTGACAGAAAATTTCTCTTAAAGGACTTTGTCAATTGTTAAGAACAGCTCAGTTCAACATTTCTAAGCACTTGTTTCTGTCTGGCCCCATGCTTGAGGTTAGATATAAAAAAATAAATAAAAACACAGACATCCCTCAAGAAGTTTCCAGTCGAATAAGAAGTAAAGAGGCTGACTTTGCCTGTTTAGCTAAAATTCAAGAGGGGCTGAGTCAAAATAATTTTCCTGAGAAAGAAACTAACCAAGTCATCAATATTTACGCAAGCTATACTCTGAGTCTCAAGATAGCAAATGAGAGACCTAATTTTGCTCCCATAGCTCCAAAAAAAACAAACTCAGCCACTAGAATTCCTATTTCTAGTATCACACTAGGCCCTTGATTTAGTGTTTTCTAACTGCAAACAATGTCACTAGTAAGAACTACCACTTTTTCTCTGCTATGGCAGCCACTTTACATAGATTCTTTCTAATCTTTACAACCATGAAACATGGGCATTCCAATTACCATTTTACAAACAAGAAAATTGAAATTCAGCAAGATTAAGTTCTTTGCCAAGAAAATATGAAGGGTATAAATGTCATACATGACCAAATTAGAGAAACTAACCACATTGGATCCTTCTGCTTACTCTAGAAATCCAAGAGCCTCCACCCCTTTCTCTAGTGGGGCAATAGTACAGAGATCACCACTGAGGTTCCATAGACAAGTTCACTTTCTTGGCTAAACCAAAGCTTGGACCAGTAAGAGACAAAAATTAAATGAAATTCTTAATAACATTCCCTAGTGATTCTACAAGCAAAAATCACATTCCTAAAGCCCCGTCACTGTCTCCCTGCCTTCGGCACCTGTCTGATAAGCTGTTTCTTCTTTGCCGACTCTGGCATATTGTGAACATGTTGGAACAATTCTCTTAGTGCCTCTCCCGTACGCTGCTGGGTCTCCTCCTGATGAAGGCAGGAATCTCGCTGGTTCCATTTCTGAGATCTTGTCACTTGGAAGGAGCTGGTATGACACGAAGCTATCAGATCAAGATCATCCTATGGAAAATTTAAAAGAAAAGTGAATTAATATATCCTGCCAGGTTTGTTTCCAGATTCCCACCACACGGGAACAAAAAAAGGGGAGATGTGGGAAACATGGTATACTCTTACATGTAGGAACAAGAAAAATCTAAACACTATCATCAGATAAAGAGAAACCTACAATTATAGACTATATCAACAGCCCACTTCCATGACCTGCCCAGAAAACCTAAATTCATTTAGAATATTGCTACCAAAAATTATATTTATATAACAGGCCAGTTTTCAGAGCATCCTTTAATCTCACATAATTTTCATTGGTATCCTATGAGTTAAGCAGTGAAAGTATATTACTCCCATTTCATTGAAGAAGAAATTGAAGTTAAGCTATAAGTTTAAAATCATCTAAAAAATCATCTAGATACTAACGTGACAGACCCATCTTAGAGACCAAGTACACTGGTTCTTGGCTGGTGCTCAAATGACAACATGTGATAACTACACAGCAGTGGTAGAGGAACAAAAACAACTCTCTAAGAAAAACCATACTCCAGTTAAACTAGCTGAAATAAAATCCTGTTTTCCTGGTCACACCAAATATTTGCTGAATGAGAGGTAGAAACCAACAGGAGCAGAAAAAAAAGCATAAGATGACAGCTTAAGTTTCTAATCAAGACAGACTAAAAAAACAATCATCAAAAAGTGCTTGTGATGTTTTTTTAAACTTCTCACTTTTAAAACTCAATAATCATGTAATCTTGTTAATAAGCATCACACATTTGCTTTCTAAAGCTCATAAGGTCTCAAGTCTTCTAGACATTTCAGAGTGTTACCTTACCACCAAACTTGAAAGAATGTATTACATAAAACTGTAATTTCATAACTAAAAATATTTAATACATTTGCTATTTACAGACTGTTTTTTTCAACTATAACACATTTTATTTTCTTATGTCTTTACTTTGATTTCATACTTTGTTTTAAAACTCCACTAATTTGGGCTTCCCTGGTGGCGCAGTGGTTGACAGTCCGCCTGCCGATGCAGGGGACATGGGTTAGTGCCCCAATCTGGGAAGATCCCACATGCCGTGGAGCAGCTAGGCCCATGAGCCATGGCCTCTGAGCCTGCACGTCCGGAGCCTGTGCTCCACAACAGGAGAGGCCACAACAGTGAGAGGCCCGCGTACCGCAAAAAAAAAAAAAAAAAAAAAAAATCTCCACTAATATTAACTAGCTCTCTCCTTGTTTGGGCTAAGAGCAATTTCCTATTCTTACCTTTGATGCTTGCGTTCTAGAACCCAAATAGTTCAATCTGGCACATTCCCGAATATAAGCAGGAGCCTGGGCAGGATATAAAAGAAAAACAAGAACAAATGGTTAGCAGAATCTAAAATTCTTTCAGGTCATAAGGACAGGGGTTCTTAAAATGATCTGACTGGCAGATTACTCTGGAAAAACAAAAGATCCTCAAAATACCCTATTTCATAGTTTCCTTTTTCTTGCCACCAAAAAGATAGCTCAACAAATCCAACAGGAAAACTGTGACAAGACACTACTGTAGTTTTAAAAATCATATATGGCATATGTGTGTGTATATATATGATTTTTTCAAATAAGCCACAACAGACATTTGTAGTAATGTTTATATTTGACAGAAACTACCCCCAAATCCTCACAAATTTCAAGTGGTCCCTAAATCACATTTTAGAATCACTGTATAGAAAATACCATTTAGAATTACTATGGAGTAACAACAGACAAGGAGGAATTTAGCTTATTGGTATATTACCCGGAATCCTGTGATAAGCATCCTGACACAGTCCTAGTAGAAGTGTAAATAATGCAACCACTATGAAAGAGAATTTGGCAGCATCTAAAAAAATTACATTTTCATTTACCCTTTAAACCAGAAATTTCACTTCTGAAAATCTATCCTGAAGATATTACTCCAGAAATACAAAACATACTTGCATAAGATTAATCAAAATATTAGACACAACCGAAATGTCTATTAATAGGAGGATGGTTAAATAAACTTTTATACATCCATACAACACAGTACTATGCAGTTATTAAAAATGAGAGAAGGGAGGGAGGGAAGAAACACTTTACGAACTGATATGAGTGATTTCCAGGATCTGCTGTTGAGTGAGAAAAGTTACAGAGCAGTGTATAAAGCACTTGTGTAAGGAAGAAGAGGAAATAAAAATATACACACATATACACAATAATTTGTTTTTACGAAAAGAAACACAAAGAAAACACTAAGAGAATAAACCATAAAACAATGAAAATGGTTAGGGAAAGGACTGAAATTTCTCTAAATATACCTTTTTGTGTAGTTTTGACTTTTTAACCATATAAATATACCAGAGGTTCAAAAAATAAAATTAAATCCAAAAGGAAAAGAGGCAAACACTAAACCTGTACAACAACAACAAAAAAATATATCTGTGTATCAAATTGAAAAAAAAAAAAAAGGGACTTCCCTGGTGGTCCAGTGGCTAAGACGCCATGCTCCCAATGCAGGGGGCCAGGTTCAATCCCTGGTCAGCAAACTAGATCCCACATGCCGAAACTAAGAGTTCGCATGCCGCAATTAAAGATCTCGCATGCTGCAACTAAAGATCCCGCATGTCATAACTAAGATCTGGCACAGCCAAATAAGTAAATAAATATGTTTTTTTAAATGATAACATAAGCACAGAGAAAGGAATTATTTCACCTAACTTTTGAAAACTGTATTCTGACTATACAACCTTAGTGAGATATATTCAAGGGAAAAGGAACTGTAAGGAAATCCTAAACTTCCATCAACAGATTTACAGAAGTTTATTGTTAGTAGTAATAGTTCTATTATTTTGAAATTAATTTATTATATTGTAGGATAAAGCAACTAACATATATAAATGCTATTAAAATCTGGAATTTACAATGTAAAAATTTACATTTATACAAATATAAAGTAAAAGAAGTCAAGAAAAAGCTCTGTAGTGTTAAATTATACTCCAATAAACATGTAAAAAAAAAATCCTCTGAACAACTATTTTAATCCTCTATTTTACTTTGAGGAAGATATGAAATTATTTTTTAGGATGTCTCAAATAGAGGGAAAAAAAGAAACCCTGATAAAGATTGAAGATGTATCTAAAACTACTGTCTCCATCAACAAAATCCATGTAAATACCTAAAATTCAGTGGAATAGCCAGTACATACCTAATTCACAGCCTGGAACTTCTGAATAGATCTGACCAATATATTTTTTTAAAAAACCTTCAAAACTATGTCAACAAATCCTGTTAATGTCTTGAAAATCAGAGTCCTGCTGTCAAGTCTCTTAAGCTATCCCTTATCTCTTTCCACTCAGCCTAGTGTCAAATATAGATGAGAGAAACATAGTCATTGCTACTAGCCTAAGCACATGTACTTTCTCTTCACAAATGGTATGTAATTATTTTGAGCTTAAAATAAATGAATAACAATATTATTTTAAAAATTTAAAAAAAAATCTGAATTGGAAATACTAATATGAACTAATGATTTCTTTTTAAAAAAATTTTAATTCTATTCCTTGCCCTCAAAGAGCCTAGAAGCAATGACACCCAAGAAACAATCAGTACGTATACCCAGTGTCAGTGGAAGAAATTAGGGCTCCCTGAAGAAAATAATTGATTCCAGGCCCAGGGCAGAGCAAGTATAAAGTAAGGTGGGGACATTTATGCCAGGATGGAAACACTCAAAGACTAATGGAGTCCTGTCAAAAAGACACAGCAGGAAGCAGCTTACAAGGGCTATCACAGGCCAAATTTGGTACAATTTGAAAATCAAAATTAACAACTGAAATTGACTAACACTTTGAATAACTAAAAATCCATGGGTCTACAGAGACTCATAATAAAAGAGACCAAGAGAGAGAAGGAAAGCTCTTCTCCAAAGAAGAAAGTCAGCTAATAAAGATTAATAATATAATTAGAAAATCACTGTTTTGTGATACACAATATAGTTATACTGTCCAGCAGGATTATCAGTGGATGCTAAACCATTATATCAGTTAATTGCCCTGCAGGTTACTTACTACTTGCAAAGGGGAAAATGTACCTTTATAATTGAGAGATGTGACAAGTAGCAAAATTAGCATTACTGAGAGTAAGACAATCTACATTCTGTGCCTCCTAATGTGATGCAATATGATGTATACAAACATCACCTATGAATCTTTGCCAAAAATGCTTAACCTGAATCTAATCAAGCCTCTAAACCTAACTTGTGGTTTATAGGAACTACATAGAAAGGGATGAAGGAACAGGTTAAATAACCTTGAAAAAACAGTAAGACAAATTTAAAATGTGGAATATTCTACAATAGGCCTGAATGCTTCAACAAATCAATGACATGAAGATAAAGGGTAGTAATTATTCCAGATTAAAAGTGATATAATAATCGAAAGCAACACATAAGCCTTGATCAGTTTATGTTTTGTTTTGGTTTTTTACATCTTTATTGGAACATAATTGCTTCACAATGGTGTGTTAGTTTCTGTTGTACAACAAAGTAAATCAGCTATATGTACCCATATATCCCCATATCTCCTCCCTCTTGCATCTCCCTCCCACCCTCCCTATCCCACCCCTCTAGGTAGTCACAAGGCACCGAGCTGATCTCCCTGGGCTATGCGGCTGCTTCCCACTAGCTATCTATTTTACATTTGGTAGTGTATATATGTCAAGTTTATGTTTTTTATATATTTTTAAATAAATTTATTTATTTATTTTGGCTGCATTGGGTCTTTGTTGCTGTGCACAGGCTTTCTCTAGTTGCGGCGTGTGGGCTTTCTCTAGTTGTGGCGAGTGGCGGCTACTTTTTGTTGCAGTGAGCGGGCTTCTCAATGCTATGGCTTCTCTTGTTGCGGAGCACGGGCTCTAGGCGCGCGGGCTTCAGTAATTGTGGCACACAGGCTCAGTAGTTATGGCTCGCAGGCTCTAGAGTGCAGACTCAGTAGTTGTGGCGCACGGGCTTAGTTACTCTGCAGCGTGTGGGATCTTACTGGACCAGGGCTCAAACCCGTGTCCCCTGCATTGGCGGGTGGATTCTTAACCACTGCGCCACCAGGGAAGTCCAAGTTTACGTTTTTTAAAAAAGCAGCTATGAAATACATTCTTAGGACAACTGGGGAATTTAAATATGAACTGAATATTAGCTGATATGAAATTCTTGTAAATCTTCTTAGATGTGATAACAATACTGTGACTATTAGGAGAATATTCGTATTCTTAGGAGATGCATGCTTAAGTATTAAAGGACAAAATATCATGATATCAGTGGTTCAGGAAAAAAAAAAAAAAAAAAAGCATGAATATATAGAGGACTTCCCTGGTGGTGCAGTGGTTAAGAATCCGCCTGCTGACACAGGGGCACGTGTTTGAGCCCTGGCCCGGGAGGATCCCACATGCCACGGAGCAACTAATCCTGTGCGCCACAACTACTGAGCCTACACTCTAGAGCCTGTGAGCAGCAACTACTGAGCCCGCGTGCCTGGAGTCCATGTTCCGCAACAAGAGAAGCCACTGCAATGAGGAGCCCACGCACAGCAATGAAAAGCAGTCCCCGCTCGCCGCAGCTAAAGAAAGCCTGCACGTAGCAACAAAGACCCAACGCAGCCAAAAATCAATCAATCAATTAATTAATTAATTAAAAAAATATATATATATATATATATAGAGAGAGAGAGAGAGAGATAAAGCAAATATGGCAAATGGTGACATTTGTTGAATCTGAGAGTTATCTGTTTCACTCTTTCAACTTTTCTCTATATTTGAAAAACTTCACAAAGAAGTTTTCAAAAAAGAGTCTCATGACAAAGACATTATGCTATCTATAGTTTAATTTTTACCTTGGTAAATTATAAAGCAGAGCCAAAGGAAATTTCCTCCAAACAAGAATATGACAGCCCACATCACCTATTCTATAACTTCATTTAAAAAAAAAAAAAAAAAAAAACCTCTGCCCCAAAAAGATACTATGAGCTGAAGGGATACTCAGAAAGGGAGCCAGAAGCAGACAGGTTTAAATGAAAATCTGAGGGTCCAAGGTATTTTACAGTTCATAGGACTTCCCAGATAAAATGGGAATTGGCCTCAACTATATATACGTCATAATTCCCTAGGAAAAGATGTGGTGACTCCTATTGAAAAGAGAGAAAACCAGACTAGGTCAGATGGACTGATAACAGTAGAGGATAGAACTATAAATAGTTAGGAATAATTTTAGAGAAAAAAAATTCAAAGGACACAGAATGAGGCAACATAGAATCTGAGGATTAGGAGGTAAACCGTCCACCCAA